ACTTTTTTTTTTTTTTTTTTTTTTGAGTACAGCATAAAATACCGCGCAGCTCTTTTGGATTATAGAAGGAAAAAAAAAATCTGCTTCCGCGTGTATGCTGAGTGCCAAGTGCTGGGTGGATGTCTCTTTTGTCCAAATCCCACAAAAGCAGCAGTAATGTCAGAAAAATGTGTGCTCTAAGTTAGAAAAAAAACAAGGTTAAGAATATCCAAAATAACCCAGAAATACATATACAGACTCTGTCCGAGAGAACGTCTTGCACACAGAGAATTCAGGCTATCCATTGCCATTCGCATCCTGCATCTTGCTTTTCCAAATGCACTTTTTTTTCAATCCTCCACAAATTTGCACAGAGCCCCAAAAGAGAAAGTTATTGGACTTGGCTTTCTCAGTTGACGTGATGCACAACACCCCCCGTGCCCTTCTGTGAGATGAAGATGAGACCCAGGCAAAAGTTGCCCAAAATGTTGACATGCACTTAGGGAAAAAAAAAATCATCTTACCTCGCATCTTGGCTTGCTGGTATTAGGACTGTGTTGGGAATATCATGAAAACTTGCAGCGCAGGCAGCTGGAATAGCAGCAATTCCTTTGATAAATTAAATATCCAGGGTTGGAGCCTTCCTCCCCGGTCTTATTGTTTTGCTCCACTAATTCTGGGCAAGTGACTGGCTCTTCCTCCTCAGTCACTCTGGGTACCTGCCTCCCTCTCCCTCTCTCTCGGACTGCTCCAGCTCTGCTAACCTACTTTCTGCAGTAGCAGATGGAGCATGTGGAAATTCACATGACAAGCCCTAGTTGGATCCCGCCTACCTCGGTTTCACTTTAATCCCCGCCTCTTTTATTTATTCCCCCCCTTTTTAAGCCACCCTATCCGCTTTCTCAAGCATATTCCCTCTTCCCTGGGCCCTCCCCTGTGCTAAAATCAGACCTGGTTGTTGGCTTTGTTATATAGCAGAAGAAATGAATGAGCATGACAAGCCGGGAAAGGCAAATCATCTGGGCAGGCACTTGTCAGACCTCCCCAGGATCACAAACAGCTCGGCAT